CCATCAGTTCTGTTCTTGCAGCTAATCCTTGGTTAAATATGGAGAGAAGTTGTACAAATTGCTGAGATTTTCTACCAAGTCGCAAGTTTCTTTCGGAAACATTCAAATTCTTTTTTGGACCTGAATTACGAAAAGCTGTAATTACAATCTTGGAGAGGATCCATGATTTAATTTATTTTTGAGGGAGCATTTTTTTTTTTTTTTAAATAACGTAAATAACCCTGAAATAAAACAAAACAAAAACTTACATTTCAGATAATTACAGTAGCATCCATGCTTTTAGAGATAAATTGCTTATAATTTTTTGTCGATACATGTTTACATTTCGTAGTTGTACATGGATTATAACTTTAAAAAATCGTTCGTAGCACCACTGGTGACTCTACGGGGGAGGGGGGAGGCGCTTTTTGGCTGATTTTTTTTTTCATTGTTCAATATTTTTTTATGTTTATAATTTAAGCTGAATACTGAAATAATCATAATATATTATCTTTTTAAGTTCTAATGCATATACAACTACGAACTGTAAACATGTATTGACAAAAAATTATAAGCAATTTATCTTTAAAAGCGTGGATGCTACTGTAATTACCTGTGAGGTAAGTTTTCTTTTCTATTTTTTTCTTTTAGGGTTATTTACGTTATAAAAAAATAACAACAAAAAAATGCTCCCCCAAAAATAAATTAAATCATGGATTTTCTCCAAGATTTTAATTACAGCTTTTCATAATTCAGGTCTAAAAAATTACGTAAAAAAAATTTGAAGTTTTTCGAAAGAAACTTGCCAAAAAAAGCTCAGTAATCAGTGCTACTTCTGCCGATATTTTACCAAGGTATGTAGTGCCAGAACAGAACTGATGGGGCCGAAATCAGGATTCAAAATATTATTAAATTACAAGAAAGTCCCAGATTAAAATACATCATTCACCATCCTAATGTGCCCTCTGCTAAAATATTATTTTATCTTCTGGATCATATAATTAAGATAGATCATATATCATATAATAGACCATAGTCCAGTGTAATGAGTTAATAAAAACGTGTTCCCATGGTTCAGTATCCTTCATTGTTACGTTACTTTCTTAATTTCTAGTATTGGGGCTGAATTAAAAGATTCCATTAATAAAATGATAAAACCTAAATGTTCCAAGTCGGATTTGAGGTTTAAAGGAGTCCTTTTTCGTTGATCCTCTTCATACGATCGAGAGAATTTTCTTCAAGAAAATATTCTAATAATTACGTAAATCAATAATCTGTATAAAATTACAATAAGTAATAACTTCGTTGAACTCAATTTCATTGGTACTTTAATATTTTTATGTCCGTTTCCTCTGGTACCATGTGCCTCGAGGCCGGATTTAATGGGTCTAATAAATCCGCCATCGTTAATGGCAAAATCTTTTAATATTTTATTATTAACAGTTTATATCTGCTCAATCAATTTAAAGTTCGCTGGTACCATTAATTTTATTAGATCAATAAACTAGTATTAACTAATTTGATTTAATATAAAAATGTTAAATAATTTATCCTCATAATACTTTCACTATAATGTGAGGAGTTTCATTTGCCAGAAAATCCTCGTGCAGACCGTCCAATGTATTCTTCCATAATTTCTTTAAACCCCAATTCAAAATGTCTTTAACTTAACTCCCGGAGATATTTAAACCACGAGTCAACAAATTGACCATAAGAGTATTTAGTAAATAAATGACCCATTCTCTCGATCAGTCTTAACTGGCTTTAGTACCAATGAAGTGCTTGAGAGAGTAGCGCAGAGATCTCCCGGGGTTCTGATTTTTCCTCCATAGTTGGAGGGACAAATCTGCCTCGGAGTTCCCTCATATGATTGTAATAGTATATAGGTATGCATTTGTTTTTTTAATATTTTATTTAAGTAAATAAAATTAAAAAAAACACATGCTTATATTCATTTATTTTATTTTCACCAAGTTTTGTATCTTTTGTAGCCCTGATGAAGACCTGCAAAGTGGGTCGAAACGTCGGAAAATATTAAATAATTACTATTTGTTTAATTTAGTATTTATTTTACCGCACCTCCCTATCAACTCCTTCTCATATTATATCAACGGTCAACAATCTCTACATCGTTATTTTATTTTATTTATTGTATATACTTTTTGATTATTATTTAGTTATTTTGCTTCAGTTTCTTCTTCTTTTTTTTTGTACGTATTGTGAGAATGTGATCTTACCTTTCTATAACCAATGTCAAAGTGACAGAATGTTATATCATTCAATAATAAAAAAAGAAAAAATGATCCATGAAAAACTAACTATAGGAAAATTAGCACTTAATGAGTTTTAGTTATACTGGGAGTTTTTCTATATAACCGTCCATAGTCTGAAACTTTGTAAATAGAAATAAATAAATTTTGAGACAAGTTCGAATTGAAATTTATTACTAATAATTAAATCATAATTTTTTAAAAAAGAAAACCAAGGTTAAAAAATCAAAATATTGATGGATATAAAAATATACCTACGAAGAGAAAACAACTTATCATATTAATGATAAATAGTTGTAAACTTGTAATTTTTTACCACTGTTAAAACTTTTCAATAAGAGTCAAATTGCCATATTACCAATAAAAATAATTTTTTTTTTTTCACGATTTGACTCAGATATTAACGATTTAATTGTCTTCGAATCTCGGATATATATAACTCGTATATATCTCGAAAAATATAGAACAAAAATAAATAAAAGATGAAATTCGAGCCAAGCGGCAATAGATAAAAGGAGAAATGAGCTCTACAACTGAAGCCAAAGGCAGGGTAGCCGACTTAAAGGGAATAACATAGCTGCTGCCCTCGTTTTAGACTTGACCCAGAAAGGTTCCACTCCTCACCCTCACAACATTCCCCTAAAAACCCATTATTCATTTCATCAATCATTGTTGTAATAACTCTATTTTACAATGCTCTATCTCCAGTTTCTTATATTTTAGTTAGATATATATTTAGCAATATTTAAAAAAAAGTGAAAGAGTTAAATAAATTTGAAAATAGAGTATTCTATGAATGTATTAAGGCCAATTTCCTTTACTACTTACATTAAATAAGGTTTTGCATAACAAAACTAAATACTTAATATAAAAAGGAGTTGATATTATATATAGTAGAGTCTTAGATTATACAATCATTATATGCATATGAAAGACTGCCTCTATTTCAAGAGTTTAGCCAGTGTACTGTTCGTATCGTTCCTAAGCTACCTATATTTACATATATTCATCATATTATTACGTTATTTTAAAATAAAAGTATAATTTTGCACAAACAAAAATTATGAGATTATATATGTACAAATGAGAGGTAAAGAACAAGTTCATTTTTTTATTTGCTTAGGGTAAAAAATATTCCATAACTTCGAGCTATTAAAATTTATTTCTTAATTATAAAATTATTTTATTTAAAAATTGATATTGTGTCCTTAACCTCCTGGGCACAGATATTTAGTACATTGATATGGAACAGAAATTTTAAATGTTATTATTACTATAACACAATTAAGCAAAAACTGTACATAATTATTTTAAATTATTGTGTTACGAACTATGTTCTTTTTCTAAATAGCTTTAAAAATGATGTAATTAATTAAAAATGAAGGGAAATATTGATATTTTTCGTTGTATTGATTTTTGATAGTGTTATAATTTTCTCGATTCCAATTAAAAGATAATGGAAAAGTCCAAGTTGTTATTAGTAGTTTGGCTTCTTTAGGTTGATGATTAGAATATTTAATAGTTTTTAATTAAGGATGCTTGACCTTGTGGAACATATTAGAGGCCATAAAAAAATAATCTCAACTTCGGCTTAGAAAGCCTTTATACATAGGCTGGGAGAAGTATATATTTTGGTTTCTTATAAATTTATCAATATATTGGTTATAATATTTGAATAGACTATGAGGAGAAATTAAGAAGAGAATAACGAATACTGTTTAAGTTAATGTATTAAAATATTTCAGCTAAATAGAGAACATTGTTTTCTATCGATGTTTCTCGTATACTCAAAGCTCTTTATAGTTTGGTTTTATGACTTAAATGTAGTACTCTGGTAAAGTCTACACTGTTATATGACCGATAAGAGGCCGCCATGCTAGGTCATGTTAAAGACCCGCATGGTATGGAGAGCACACCTGCTCAGCGGCTGCCATTATCTAGGGAAGGGAGGAAATAGGGAATATAGAGCGGTGGGCGTCAAAGAGAGGAGTGTTACGAGGAAGGTATCGAGACTGAATCAATACCCTGCAAGTCATTCAGTCTTCGGGGAGGGCGAGCTGCTCAGGCGCGGGCCGTGACGTCACATCGCCGACCAATGGCTGTCCTGGAGGTCGCCCATAACCAGTCACCCAGGGGGTAGGATATCTCTTCACTTCTGGCACCGGTGCGAGGTTACGAACCTGAGGTAAGCCAGCTAGCGGACTTTTTTAGGTTCGAAATAAATCGACAGTCAATAAAGGAGTACCAAGTATCCGAGGTTATTCGATGTTATCGAGCCTTCTGTCTTGGCCCCCTTACGATTCGAAAAATCAATTCATTGTCGTATCTCCCCTTTCCAACTCCCCGAAATTATCTGTATTTGTTTGCATCAAACTGTCTCTTCGTTATCTAGAAGGCATATCATTACTAATTAATATGATTTTACCTTTACTATGATTGCACCAGAAAAGTCATATTTCTAAATTTATTTTTGTTTTGATGTAAACAAATTTTATTTTATTATTGTATATGTTTTTATGACGTTTCAACATAAATTAGATAGATATATTAAAAAAAAAAAAAAATTAGCTCACTTGCATTAACAAAAATTTTATATTTATTTTATTATTTTTAAAAATTAAAATATTTTAGAAAATTAATGTTCAAAATTTAGTTTATTACATTAGTAATAAAATTAAAATATAACAATACCTGCAATAAGAATTTATATATTTAATCAAACGTAATAGTGAATTAATTACAAAATGTATGGTTTCATTGAAATGAAACACTAATTGGAAATATATATATATACATTGTACATAGTATACACAACAATAATGCCCTAGAAAATATCTTACTGATAAGTAGGTGCTGATAAAGCGTACCATGAATGTAAATTAGTTTCCTGTCAAGCTGAACTAATGTTTTCAGTATGAATGGAGCTCAAATAGGTTGTAAATTATTTTTACTGTAAAATTATTTCATGCAATTAAAACGTAAACTCGTAGTGTTTGAATTCTTTGTTAAATTGTAATTGCTTCAACTTAATGTTTGTGATCATTTTCTTCTTGATACAGTATAATACAGAACTTAAAACTATTACATATTTAGATAAAATAAAGTATTGTTGTTTTTGTAACATTACTGAAATTCTTAACTATTTTTCTTTTTTATTAAATACTTGCCTTGGAAAAAAATAAGAATAGACTCTTTCTCACCATATATTTAGAATAAATTTAAGTTCTGCATTATTCTATATTAAGAAGATATATAAATATACAAATATTCCAAAACTGTCCATGAATTCTCTACTCTTATGAACCTATTGATCACTTTGAAATGTATGACACAGATATAATAGATAAGAAATATTATTATCAATATATATAATGATATTTTTATTCATATATTACTGTTAGCACTGTTGATTATAATTTGAAGAGATGATTTTCCATGACAAATAGTGATTAATTTTTTATCATATTTGACATTTTTTTTTGTATTTATAGATTTCTGCAATTCAACTCATATACAAACAATGGCTGGTGGGCAAGAGCCAAAGTGGCAGAAAGATGCAGCGGATCAGAATTTCGATTATATGTTTAAACTCCTCATCATAGGTTAGTCGATCTTAATATTATCTGAAAATTAATTAAATGTTTTATATCTTTATTACTTAATTTCAATTATCATTTAACGTTTTATTCCTATTTATTTGTAAAAAAAAAAAAATTCTAATCAATAACATTTTTTCAATTGATGTTTTAATAATACTAAAAGAAAATAGTGGTGATACAGACATTAGTAATTTAGTTTTTTTTGTATTATCTTTTAAAATTAATTAATTAATTCTATTTTATAAGAAGATAATCGAATTGGCTAAAATATAAAAGTGATTTATTTTTAAATCCTATTATTGAAGTGTTCTTTTGACTATAAATTTAAGACTTTTGTGGTAAAATAATAATTAATCACCATTCATCAAAGATATTCCATTTTATCTCTACTTACCTAAAATAAAACTAAATACTTTTAACTGTTTTTGTTTAATGTCAACGTTAACATGGGTGTAACATCATACTTCAGCTTTAAAAATGTATCACTGAATCTTTTAAATTGGTGTAAACATTTATACATAAAGTCCTTTGTTCTATTGATATAAATAAATTAATACATTTATTAATTAATTGAAACATTTTTCATTTAGTTTTATACAATTATATCAACCCATATAAAGTGTATTGATTTCTCCCTCAAAAATAAAAAATAGTAGAACTTTAGGTCAACATAATTATATATATAAAATATTTTCCTGGGGTGCAGAAAAAAATAAATTAACATTCATTGAAGAGTCTGATTATTAAAGAGCCAGGAAAGGACTTTTAATTCTATTTGAGTTTTGGAGTCTAATCTTGAAACATTAGTTGTGTTGCTGTGTAGAAGTATTGATCTAAATCAATAGATAAAAATTCTGTAATACTGACATATATGTGTGTGTTTATATAAAACACTTCATTAGGGTGAAGAACAAAATAAAGTAGCAGTCAAAATAAATATATATATATACACACACACACACACACACACACACACACACACACACATACATATATATAGATATATATGGATATATATTAACAACATTTAGTTTCATATTCATAAACTATTGTTGTGTCATACTTCTTATATACTTTGAGCAATATTTTGAAATCATCTATCACCAACTACTTTAGGTTTATATGTACAGTATTTCAATGTCATAGCAACTAAATCATCTATCAGTTGCATAAAAATTAAGTATTACATAAATATAGTGCCATTTACTCTTAACAAAGTTATGTTTAAACAATATATTTACTTATAACAAAACCTACATAAATGAAATTTAAAACAATACATTATTACATGATTGTCATATCCTAATATATTTAATTATTAATATCCGTTTGTATAAGTCTTAAAATTTTTGTAGTTTAAACCGACGTCAATAAGAGTCAAAGGCACTAACAATTGTGTGCCTTAGAGTTTGTTACATTCAGAATTATCCATGAAATTATTTGTTGATGAATTTCAATAAATTTTTATATAATAATTATTATAAGTTTGTTCAGAGAAACAGATACCAGAATATATGATAAGTATAGGACGATAAGTGATTTGAAACTGACTTCAAAGTTTTTAGCAAATAAGAAATATTTACATCATGTTGTCAGAGCCAAAGTTATTTATTAATTTTGCCTTAAGGTATTCTCTTAAACGAGATTCACAGTAAGTATAAAAAATGAAGTTTACAACTGAGAAAGGGATTAACTGTTTTGTCACATGCTTTATGAAATCAACAAAAATATTATTCATTAGTAAAAGTTTTTGAAAATTTAATATATTCCTTCTGTTTATAGGCAATTCAAGTGTTGGAAAAACATCTTTTCTCTTCCGATACGCAGATGATTCTTTTACTTCAGCATTTGTTTCAACCGTAGGAATAGATTTTAAAGTTAAAACAGTTTTTCGCCATGATAAACGGGTCAAACTTCAAATATGGGTAAGCTAATATTGATTTTAAATGTAATTCATCTTAAAAAATTTAGTTGATAAAAAAACTTAATAATTATTTATGGATAAGTAAAATAAACTAAAATACCCTTACAGCTATTTTATAACATAAAATCTGCTTATTACAACATAATATAATCTAACATCAAGTCTATTTTTAAGAAATTACTTTTTTTATTTACTTTTTTATATTTATTTCAGTTAAAGTATAAATTTAAAAATATTTATCTTATTTTTTGTAAACAGGATACTGCAGGACAAGAAAGATACCGAACAATAACAACTGCTTATTATCGTGGAGCTATGGGTTTCATTCTCATGTATGACATTACAAATGAAGAATCATTCAATAGTGTTCAGGACTGGTAAGCTACTTCATTAAACATAATTTTAAGATCAAAGATTTATAAAATAATTTGGATTAAAAAAAATTAAAGAGTTACTAATTATAATTATACTTGTATGATTTGATTATTTTTTATAAATAGTCTTTAGGAGCTAGTATTTATATATAATGACAGTAAATATTAATAATCAGATATGCCTAATAAGTATATTACACTAAACCTTAGGTTAGTTACAACGGACGAGAAGAAATAAACAATAAAAAAAAATTCATACATGATTATAACTTGTCAATTCAGAAAACACATTCATTATAGCTTATAAACTTGAACTTGGGGTACTACAATGTCTCTATAGAAATGTTTCATTGAAGAACTGACAAGATACGCTTGATACAAGATAAGATTAAGACATGCATTTTCTGACATATATCTTATTTGCAGAAGCTAAAAACACATTGAAACTTGATATACATAAGATCTTTGGCCACTCAAATAGGTGTTTAGCAATGTAATCACTTAATGTTAATTTTCTTAAAAATTATTGTTTTCTATTCTTTTTTGAGAAGACTAAGAATTTTTACATATAACAATGCATGAATAGAAAGTCTAAAGTCAATGAAATAATACCTAATATAACTATATTTTTCTTTAAAGCAAGAGATTAAGAAATAAGGAACAAATTATTAAGAATTATATAAAAATTGTATATTTGGTAAGTTTTACATGGTAACTTTTTAAAATTGGCTTCTAGGCTACATCACATATTTATTTATAAATATACATATGTACAATATTAATCAGCAAAACTGCTTCTGTTACCTAAAAATTTGAAACAAATTGTTAAGTTTTGATGGAATACATGATTAAAAATTTCAATATTAAAATAAAAAATTAATGATTACCATGAATAAACAGAAAATTTTAAGAATGTTTTGACTGTAATTAATCAATAAAAAACATATGAGATGTATATGCAAAAATAAAACAAATAAGTTAATTATAAAATAAAAGTTACTAATATAAGCTAAAAGGAGAGAAAAGGGGAAACTTAATATGAAGAAATATTTTGCATTCATAATTAAAGAGCTCGGAGAGTGGGGTTGCTCAGTGGTAGGGTACTGAGCTTCTAATGCTAAAGGTCTCAGGTCAAACCCTGGCTCATGGTAGAAAAATTATTTATCTGTTTCATTGGCCGTGGTGTGACCCTGGGTCGGGAGACCCTCCTGAGGCACACTCAACCTCTATCAAGTGTGTACCCTTAATTATATAATTGATTAAGGGAGAAAACCTGGTGGTTCAGCGTGATCTCGGTCAAATCACCTCACTGCTCAATTTGCACAACCGTTGACCTAGAAACAGTGCTTTCCCTAAATAGTACTGAACCCAAGAACCTTCATGGGTTGTAGTGTTAGAGATTTAATTAAAGAGCTCACTAAATCAAATCATCATCATTAGAAGGTTTCAGAGCATATTCCAAGAAGCAAACCTCAAAATTAGGCGAAACAACAAATACATTAGAGGTGATCTAACACCAACCTATATGGTTTCTATAAAGATATTAATAGTTCTAATTAAAAATGGCAGCAGCTAGTACAGGATATGAATTTGTGGATATGGCTCTAAAAGAGTACATTCCACACTTCTCAGCAGTAGAAGATGGTGCAATTAAGAAGAAGAGAAGAACTAAACACGCTTTCATATAACATGTGGTATATGAAGGTTGATAAAATTTTCGATATCCACTAATATCAAATATTCTTAATATTCATGTATTCATTAACTAAATATTATATTAATGTACTTATAACAATATTTTTAAAAAAGGAAATTACAATTTTTTTTCTTTTATCGCTGTAAATAAAATTATTATTTTTATTGAATTAAATATCATCTCATTTTATTCAATAGGGTAACCCAAATAAAAACATATTCATGGGACAATGCTCAAGTTATCTTGGTAGGCAACAAGTGCGATATGGAAGATGAAAGGGTAATATCATTTGAAAGAGGAAAACAGTTAGCAGAGACACTTGGCATTGAATTTTTTGAAACTTCTGCAAAAGAAAACATTCATGTTAAGGTAGTGTTATTCGATTTTTGTATTACTTTCTAAATAATATAAAATAATGTTAAGAATTGGTTTGCAATCTACAGTAAACATTTTAATGAATTTAACACTTTCAATTTTTCACTATAATTATATATTAATATGACTAGTATATAATTATTATTTTTGTTTATTTTCAGGCTGTTTTTGAAAGACTTGTAGACATTATTTGTGATAAAATGTCAGAGTCTTTAGATTCCGATCCCAATCTTTTGACAGGTGCAAAAGGTACCAGATTGACTGAACAACCGCAAGGCCAAAGCAACCCAAACTGCAACTGCTAGGGTCGCCTAATTTAGCGCCTCCATTGGACGTGTGCACAAATCCCATTTGCCTCGCCCTCTTTCTTCTAACATCTGTTTTTCTTTCAATGCAAATACTTGTTTACAATCAATTCTTAAGTTATGTTATAACAAAAGTTATTAACATGACAAAGGGCTGAGGGGATCCCTCATTTTCAATTGTTTCGGGAGACACATATCAACGGTCGGGAAGAAGGGGACAGAACAGAAATGCTGGAATGCTAATAAAGTGTATTCACTATCAGATCTTGAACTAGGTAGAAAGAAGCATAATAGAAATCTATTTTTAATGGATTTATCTTATTTTATAGATTTGTCTTCAATTAAATCAAACATAGTAGACTAAAGATTAAATAGTCTATACTACGGTACTTCTTTATTATACACTGAAATAGATAATTCTGTAAATAAAAATAACATTAATTGTCTTGTGCCTTCTATTTCAATCTTTTATTAATAGTATGTTTCAAGCAATTATCACTATAAATGAAAAAAAAAAAATCATCTTAAGCCTAAATGAGTCCTAAATCTTTTCATATTTCCAAAATATATCAAGTTCTTTTAATATTTATTCAATAATATTAACCTACTTCCTCTTGGCTCTATGTCAATAAGAAACTGTTTCAAGTTTTTTAGTTGGACAATTAATAAACTATTTTAAAGTTGTATTGACTAAGAAGTTGTTTATGATAAGTTCCTATCTATGTATGTGATAGTGAATATGCATTTTATGTTGTTGTTTTTTCCTTTTCATCATAGGAAGAACCAGCGATTTAGACAATAAGAAATGAACTCTGTATAATTCCCGGCCGTAACTTGAGTTTACTCCCATTTCTTTTTAGATATAATAAGTAAACTGTGAATATCTTTAGTCGTTTCGTGGGCTTAAATACTTTGTTCAGTCAGGTGGCTATACAATAAAGACCTAGAACTTATCTTCAAATCGATATAAAAAAATTGTTCTTTATAAAAATATTATTTATTTTAATAAACCAATTAATTAATAATTATAAGTATCATATTCATTGTTTTATTAGAATAAAGCATAAGTAAATCTCTATCTTTGAATATACATGTTTCTTTAATACTCGAATTATTTTCAATACATAATGATAAATTAATTTTTTATAAATAAAACATTAGTTCATGATCTTTATTTATAGCTCACTCTTAGTCTTTTCAGAAGTATTTTTTTAATCATTTATAATTTGCAAGAGGGTTTCTACATAGTTATTTCATGTGGTATTTTCTTTTCTTTTTTTAAATATGTTGAGTTAAATCATAATCTATTTAAACCACTTTTTTACAAACATAAAAGTTCATAACTTTAAAAAAAAAATTAATTTATGAACAAAATTTTACAATTTACTTTATTTGCATAGTATGCTCATAACTGACAAAAAGGAGCTAAATAATTTTTTTTAATATGTGAAGACAAACAAAGAGGGTAACATAATTTTTTTAAGTTTGTTAATAAATATATTGTTTACTTATATGTATTTGTTAAAGTACCAAAAAAAGTTTATGTAATTAATTATTAGTTAAAATCATATAAAAAAAATATTTAAAAAAAGAATAAAAAAAAAGCCAATAGTTCTTGTTAATTTGTGACTCTTCTGTGTTTCTTTTGTACATATGCAAATACATGTTTTGTTAATAACACTAATGTACACCTTTATAGGAATTATAATAAAATATATGTACACAAGAAATGTATAAATAAGTATGCAAAGGTACTAGATTGCTTAGAGCTTATCAATATCAGCTGGGAACCACTAATGTATATTGTAAATATTAAGAATACATTAATGTGTGTTGTTGAAATCGTTTTAAATGATGAAGAGTCGAATTACATTCAAAAATGAAATGATAAAAAAAAAGAAAAAAAAATGAAAAGAAGTTGTCTGACCAATAGGAGTTGTGAAATTAGGACTTTCTAGCAGTCCAGAGCTTATTGGTACATCCTTTTTTCTTTCATTATTTTTTAAAATAAGAATGTTAAAAGTAGTAAACAATTTTTGAATGTTGTTAGATTTGAAACATAACTCTTGTACAATCTCATAACTCTGCATTTAATGTTAAGGAAATAAACAGTATTCATCTTTATGGCAGAATGCTAACTTGCTTCATGTTGACCTCTCTCTATAAGTAAAAGTAAGATGGGCTGCGCTCACAATCATTGTCTAATCTTTAACTGTTATCGATCTCCCTCTTTTTCTCACTGAGGTGACATTAAGAGGTTCAAGCCATAATAATTATCTTTTAAATATATTTAATCATCACATATTTGTATGATTAAATATCTGTAAGTCTGTTTAGCTTATAAAGTTATTAATGTTGAATATCACTATTTCTAATAATCTATTACTTACAAAATATATTATTGGTCATATTTCAGTCAAATTCTGCAGACCCTCTTATTGGCATCTCAAGTTTAATTTTCATGTATAATTAACTCTTTTGTCGTTTGCAATGTAACTAACTCTCATTAACATTAAATTAAATATAAACAATGAGAATGTGTGTTAATAAAATTGTAATTAATGATACAAAAAGAACCTAATATTGACGGTGTTAAATGTTAGTAAATAGATGAAATTAATAGAGACTTCCTACTGTAAGAACACCTAGTATTTTTTTTCTCTTGATGATAACACAAGAGGGAGTGTATATGTTGCTAAAAGCAAAATAAATATGTTTCTAAACAAAATATGATTTTTCTCCCTAGAAAAAAGTAATTAAATAAGTAGTGTTTGACGTGTGTGTGAGTCAGTAACTTTTAAGCTCCTGTCAAGTCATGTGGATCTATACCCCCAGTTTTTTAAGATGATGAGCCACTGTGGCATTAGAAGTAATAATAATCAATAATATGGCCAATAAATCATGAGTAGTTGCATGAGTGTCCTGGTTCACACATTCAAGAAGAAAGTCATCATTAACGATCAATGAGTGACCTGATCTGGGTTCATCAGCAAGGCTCATATTCCCATTGTTTAAACGCCTGAACCATAGTAGAGCAGTGTTTTGATGGATAAAAAGACTCTCCTTCTATGGCACAAACTTCTTCAGCAGCTGCATTTGTGCTTAGATCTTTTTTCCAGTTATGTCTCAAAATACCTTGAGTCATGATTTTATCTTCTGACTTTGCACGGGAGTTGCAAAAATGTATATGACCCCATAAAGCCAACTCAAGTTACAAAGAATTAAAGGATTAGTCAAAGTAAAAAATATTGGCATAAATTGTAGGAACAAAATCATTCTTATAGAATTAATTATGAAAGTTGGAATCAAGGGTTGTGTTCATACACATGAATTTTGTATCAACTTAATATGCTATAGATACATAGAAAAATTAAGTTAAATAAATAAACTTACGTCACAATTGAACATCACGTCCTAACAGGAGTAGTTAATCTTAGATTTTTCGATGGGATACTGTAACAGATATTAAAAGTGAATTTAATTCAAAAAGAAATCCTGAAAAAATGTTAGAATCAATGTCCTTAAGCTTGTTAAAGACTTCATTTAAACACAAGATTGAGTGTATTAGCTAGAAGATGTCAGCCTCAGATCTCTGGGTTCTGGTAATCAAACTTTTATTTATTGCATCTTGCAGTATTGCAAAGTGGACAAAATTTTCATGAAAAACATGCAAACTTTGTCTTTATCAAAGCCATTTTAAGAAAGCTTCCAAGCAGCTAAATAAAGTAAAGTTCAGTTATTCCTTAAGGTGAGTTTAGATATTTTACAAACTATGGTACAAACAAATATATAAATGGTTTTTCACTATGCTAATATTTTTGTTTTGTATTTTCCATCTGCTGTCGTTATCATGAGAATAATTAAATCAAAAAAATAAATGTTTTGGTTTAACAATAATGTCGCTGTTAGTTAATTTAGATAACTTTCCATTCCCATAAAGGTGGGGAAATAGTCGACTGATCAATTATAAGGATGAAACTTAATTGTCATGAATTGCAATCAAGATATTTTTATTTTTATCCAACAACATATTTCCACAGAAATTCCTGACAATTGTGTTTCCCATAGTTTGTGAAATATCTAAAGGCACCTCAAAAGCATAGATTATTCTAAACATAATTTTTATTACTCTCCACTTTAGAAAAACTTTTGTTTATAAAGTTTTAATTTCATGTTGATGAAATTGGGATCTCTCAGAGAATAAACTAAGATATCTTCAAACTTGTAAAACAATTCTACAATGTGAAATTCTGTTTCATTACAGTACCAATGTTTTAAATTAATTGCAATAAATTATTTGTAGGAATGAGGCCTTTATAATCTCAATTAATAAAATAATTTATTGTAAAATTATCCAAATTTTCAAATTTTGGCACCATCAGGGTTTCATTCAGATATAAAAAAATTTTGTTAATTTTCATCTGAAAATATGTATAAAAATTTATCAGAGGACTTTTAATTATTTTAAAAGTGAACTAGAGTCTTCCAGGAATTCCTCTGATAGATTTTTTCTATTATTTCTACCACCTTATCATTAGTTACTAATAAATTATTTTTAAAACTTTCCTTAATTTATTTATTTATTCATTACTGAAGTTATTGATCTATTATCTATATAAATATAAATAAAATAAAGGTTTCATCTGTACATTGAATAAAATCAACCCGTTTCATATCTTTCCGTTTCATACATTACAAACATCAAATCCACTTTTAAAATATTTTTTGTCTGTCTGTATGCTCGCATTGTCCAACGAAATTTTGTCAGAGGTAAGCTCAGCAATGGCTGTAGACTTTTGACATTTTTACATTATATTTAGGTTTGTTTGACTTAAAACAGGCTTTGAGTGAAAATTTGTTTCACATAAGAATGTGAGCGCAAACGTGTTCTCAACGATAGGTTTGTTTCAAAAACGGCCAAACCATCTATCAAAAAAAGAACTGGACATGAAAATTTGGGAATTTTTTTGTTCTTCCCTACCTCGCCTATTAGGCTATACGGGATATTCCCGAGTCTGAGGGTGAGGGCGGGGAAATTAAATCCCCTTCAACACCAGGACTCGAACTCGTACTATTTTTTTATCTCTCAAAACTTCATATATCTGGTTGCCAGGCAACTCGCGGTGCTGTGCACACGCTTTATTAGCCCATTCGGCCGGATGAATTTCCTAATATAATATAAAAAAAAAAAATGATCGTGACCACCACTAGCGAATTCTGCCAGGCATGCCCTCCCTAGATGGTAGAAATAAAAATCCGAAAAAAGTGAAAAAACAGATACTTAATGAAAAGAGAAATGTAGGGAAAATGCTTCTCCATACACAAATTCCTAATGTAATATAAAAAAATATATATATTATTGTGACCAGCACTACCGAAATCTGCCAGAGGGCGCACCCTCCCTTAGACTTTATCTGCACTTTACCTGGAAAGCGCAGATAAAGTCAATTTTAGTTTTATAAGTTGAACTCAGACTATTTCTGATGATTAAGAATGACGTCGTATTCACTCTGATGATTAAGAATGTTCAAGTTGAATCATGAAAAAAAAAAAAATCATTAGAATAATTTTAAATTGAAGCAATTTTAAAGAAAAATTTGTTCCAGAACTTTTTAGAAATTACAGATGTCCTTTGATATTAATCCACTCATATGTGCTTTCTATTTTCTTTCTTTTCCATTTTGCCAGACTAAGCCACAGCAGCGCGTGCCCGGGTAAAGCTAGCTAAAACAATATTGGAAGCAATAATACATAAATTACAATAGGACGTATCTTTGTAAATAATGGTCCGATTTCCATTTTTTTCCCCCGATTTGTAGGAATTCAACAAATTTTCAAATACTAGTGGATCTAATCCAGAAAAATATTCTTTTCATTCATAAATTTTTCCTGAAATTTCGAGTCGAAGTTACTATGCCTCATTCATAAAAATACATCGCCCCTGAGAGCCGGAAAAGGGATCGTTACGGCAAAAAACTGTCATATTATATTGTAAGATAGATATTTGCTATCTATGTAGTAAGGAAAGTTACATATGTAACATGTAAATATGGTTGATAATCGTATATAGATAAATCGTTCATTTTGACACGATCCAGTGAAATAGCTCAATAAAACTTTGTCAATATTATTAGATATATGACATATGATCATAAACTTTTCAAATACAATCTGTAATACTGTATCCAAATTACAAACATGAATTAATATCCAATTTTTTTTTTCAAAATTGTTGTTTAGCGAGGTAACTGTCAGGTTATAAAGGTTAAGTTTACGTTGTTGGAGGATTTCAAATGGATCCAAAGGTGACTAGCACTCAGTCAGATATTTTCCGCGACACTCCTGTTAGACTACTGGGATACGCAAACGAATTGGGAGAAGCTTTTCGTTCGGTTGTGAACGTAAAGTGGGTTTGGCTGAGCTATGGAATTGCAACAGCATATGTATTTGCTGACACTGGATACAAAACAATTGCCATTAGAAATCAAACCTTCCCCTCAGAGAAAGAAAGGAACATGAGATCTTTAAAAGAAGGAGTTGATGTTCTCACTTGGCAAACACTTGCTTCTGTCATTATACCAGGATTTACTATAAACAGGATATGTGCCACAGCCAATTATTTTTTCTCAAGATCTGAAATTAAGAGGCATGCTAAATGGCTAACTGTTGCTGTTGGTCTTACTTCTATCCCCTTCATCATCAAACCTATTGACGAATTAGTTGATTACTTGATGGATACAACAGTTAGACCCATGTTGGAAATTGAAAGTCCTCAGAAACATGACAAATTGAGCCCTAAAGGAACAATATAAAATTAACATTGAGTACAATAAAGGTATTTGTGAAACAAGGAGTGGTAAAATTAATTGTAATATTTTATTGGGGCAAGTGAAAAATGTACCTACCATCCTAGTATTAAAATAATTTTAATATTTGATTTTGGAAGTGTTCAAAGGGTTGACAATTTCTTCAATTTTTGATAAAAGTTTGCTTCTATAATGAGTAGCTTCAGATAATATTTGGACCCAGTGCAAATCTAGTGATAAAATGACCACCATTCCTTCTCATTTATTGACCTATCGTTTATCTTATTTCAGTATTGAGCATGTATTTTAATTGCATGTAGATGACAAAATTGCTTAAAGCAAATATGATGGACAATAGCCCATTTTAGTTGAAGATTATTAATCTTAACAAACTAATTAGTCCTAGTTTAAAATAACGATGTAGTGCATTAATAGAGTGAGAAATAAAGTTTGTATCTACGTAGGTCTTAGTCCTAGATGCAATACATTTATAACTATTTTAAAGATTAGAATGGTATATAGCTTTATTGAAAAACCGAAAAGACAGTATATAAAGTTACAAAATTTGGTAGTTATTGACTAAGCTTTCTAATGATTGAAGATAGTTGAAAAGTTTGTTTTGTTTGATTAACATATAGGAATTCAACCTATTCCAGCCAGCATGAAAAGGTCGAAATTGGATTTGAACCAGTGCATCTTCTAACTGAGGATAATCAAAATACTTTAATGCACTCGCCAATTACAGCCTTACGGTTGAAAAGTATTATTCTTTTAGGATTAAAAATGACTCCGTGTTCAACTTTTGGTGCCTTATGTCATGTTTCAAGACATATTAACAACTGCCATATTTATTACAATCATTTTTTAAAATTAAGCCATTGCTGATTAAAGATTATTTATCTTCCTATATTTTAATCTTTAGATGTATGTTATACAAGACAACAGGGTTATTGCAGCTGTTAATGATATCATAGATCGCAAAAAAAAAAAATTAACCTAGTTTTTAATGTTGTAATCTAGATTAATTTTTAATTTGTTTTTCATTAATGCAATTTGAAAAGAATGTGAATTTAAGTATTTCATTTTTTTTTCTGAAGAAGGAAAAATGCTGCACAGATGATAAAAAAATTAACTGCCTTAATTAATGATTATTGGGATAGAAAACAAGAGTTTCTCACAGTTAGATCAGAACCAATGAATATAAACTTAATTGATCAAGTCCTTCAAACAACTCTGTCACTTTTGATGATGATGAACCTAATACTCGGTTAAAACAATTATCATTCCATAACTAGAAGTCTTAAAAAGATCATTAATTATCAAGAAATATATGGTAATATAATATTGGTAGTTTTTACTATGATATTGCAGTTCTGTTTTCCGATGTTGAATCTCTGAATCTTAATAGAACCTAATTTTTAAAACCTGGTAATATTTCGAACTTGATAAATAACTGCTCTGTTGGCCTTGGTTGCTTCATTCTTTCCTTTCTTTATTAAACAATTTTTTCTTTGCTTACTCATAATATTTCATTAATTGATTTATGTGTTTAATATCTTTGTTATGTTTTATGTTACTGAATTCTTTAATAATTAAATATATTTTTATTTCATAAATTAATGAATATTTATGACCATATATTCTCAGGAAAGAAAAAAAAGTACCTGATTTTGTTATTTAAATAAATAAAAAGGAAAAAATACATGTTTTACATTATTTCACCTCTAAAAACATTTACCTCTTAATTTATTGAACCATATCAATAAAATTAATTTTAAATTTTATATTTATTAACTTGAAGAAAATTTATTATATAGTTTAATTATAAGTTAAAATTTTAATGATTTATCTATAGAAATATTTATTTAAATTTATTTTCCATAAATTATATACACATGTCAATTATTTATCCATTTAAATAAAGATTTAATCATTTAATAAATATGTAATTTTGATCTTGCATAACTTGATATCTATTTTAACTATTCAATGTTCTTCATTTGTATGCCCTTCAGAAAATAAATGTAATCTGTAGTTCTCTGAAGACCTATGGTTTTGTACAATGCTCAGTCACGTTTTAGTTTATTTTCAGGTGTGCTCAGCTGGGGATTTCATGGCACAAGTTGTGCTATCAAAATTTTTGAGGGGAGCACATTTTGACGACTAAGAATTTTCTTAATGAAAGTTTCAAACCAGCGGACGTCATGAAAATCATGGACTTCACCACAGAAAGTGTATATGTATATATAGCATTTTCTGTGGTGAAGTCCATGGCAGCAAATAAGAACATGTTTTATGATATTTAGAACCCTCAGCCTATCTAACCCCTAACTAATAGCCTAATTATATTAAGTTAGCATGATTATGTCTTAAGTTAATCTTTTACTTCTGTTTTAACAAACTGAATAATTCATTTTAAATAAACATCAAAGCTTATCTATTGCAATTATGTTAATATATTATTTATTTATCAATCTAAAATTTAATTATTTTCAATATGGAAGTAGGTTCTTTAATACAATAATGATGTTCAGTAATGAAAAATTTTCCATAAAATTAAAGGCAACATTTTCATATACACAAAAATGACATCGTCACCTTTCTTGGAATTTTTAATTAATTATTCAAACTCAAATATTTGAATTTGTTTGCAATAAATTTCTTGATAACTGGTTTAATAATATATGCGGTCATTTAATTATCTGAAAGACATCTTTTATAAATTCGGTTATGGTTCTAGTGCAAAGCACTGTCATAATAATTAATATAATTCTTGAAAGTATTATATTAAGTAACTTACTCAGCTTCATCTGACCAAGTAACATGCCGAGGTTGAAAATCATGTCTCAATGATATTGTATCAGAATATTCCTTCTGCCGGCGGTGTACTACGACACATCCAACAGCCAAAAGACAGCATTGTAAAAGTATCCAAAAGAGACCAATTAAAGATGCTGTTAGAAAACTAGTACAAATTTCTCTGGATTGTTCTGTTTTTTCATCAACTGATCCTAAAAAAATTAAATTATTTTAACTCTTAAATCATTAACTTATAGCTATAGTTAACATTTTATTTTATTAAGCATGTTGAATATAGTATTGATGGGTTTATAAGGTTAATAGAACTTGTATTTAATATTAAATAAATAGGACATTATGTTTTGTGTTTTTTCTCACCAAGGGAAGCTTGTAGTAAATTTGTTGGGTTTGGTTCACTGAAATCCGAATGCACAACTATAGCCAGTTGCAGTGGTACTTCTTGGAAACCACTTAGAGCAGTTACTGATCTTTTTTTTCTGCCGTAGGAGATTATTTCATTTCCACAATCTGCCTGAAAAACAAATTAAATTGTAGTAGAAATACTTTAAATAATCTTTGAGTCTTGTTCATATTTTTAAATTCTAAATGGATGGCATTTTGAAACCACCAAAATAAGAAAAAAGGCTTAAAATATTGAATTTTATTTTAAATATTTGAAGATATTCTAAATGAATCACTAACAGGTTTGCAGACTGTAGGGCAGAAAGTAAGAACTAAGCTGAGAGCAAGGACCGGCGAAGAAGGAAACCTGAAAGCCTTAAACTCTGCAGATAACGTCTGTGGGCCAGCAATAGTAAGTGGTGGAAACAGTGAGACTGAAGGGGGACAACCCCTTGAATCCAGCAGCAATAGAGAATCAGTATGGGTTCCGGAAGAGGCAATTAAATGCCCAGCTCTTACCATACTGCTATCTAGAACAATCAAAATTAATAAAGCATTCATTATATTAACATATTTTTTATAATTTATCATAAAACAGGAGAACTTTACACCTTAGTGGGTAACATTGCTTAAAAACTAACATAACTTTTTTGTTTCAAACTCCTTGAAAATGTTGTATGTTTACCAGAAGAAACTTCCTGTTTCATACAGAAAACTTCTATTAGTTTTTGCTTAGGTCATTAAATAAATTATTCCACTTTTGGAGTAATAATACCTCCTCGGTATAAAATTCAATATTAATTGTTTGAAGGGAATAGTTTATTGAGATTTGAAAAGAAAATTACATAAATTAACATAAAAACAATACTGGACCATTATTTATTTAGAAATTTCTGGTTTTGGAATTTTCATTCATTTTTTTGTATCAACAGAAAGATGGGACTAGTTATCTTTATATCTTATGCTATGTCGTGTTTTAAAACAAATTAAATTTTAAATATTTACAGTTATAGGTGAAGGAAAACGAAAGTACAGGTGGCAGTTGCATTTAAAGCATGGACATCAATGAATATAGTAGCATCTGTAACATCCTGAGAAATAGTTGACATTAAATGGTTCTTTATTATTATTTTTTTTTATTTACAGAAGTTAAAGGCGCTACTATTGAGATATCTATATATTTTTCCTTAAATATCATTATAATAACATTAATCACAAGATATAGGTATAGACTTACTGTATGGTGGATTAACTTCAATTTTCAATACAATAGGATCTCCTAATTGAATTTCTTTTGGTTCTTTGCCTGTTTTGGGGTCAATTATAGATATCTTTGCTATTGCCTTGCCAACAGCTCCTTCTTGTTCTATGCTTGATCCTGTTATTTCAGTCTGTATTCTGCAAAGCAATTTAATATTAGATAAGTAATTAGTGATCATACTACAAATAGTTTATAATTACTTACTTTATTTGTGTTTAATGCCCTTATTTAATCTTAGATTAAATTACTTTGTATTCGTACTTGTTGCTATTTGATGATGAATGAAATAGATATAATTTATATTATTATTGTCCACAAAGTAATTGAACCTGGAGTTAAATCAAGGGAATGAAGATCAGAAATTTATATTTAAAAGCAATTGTTAGGTAACTGCAATAAAAAGCTTAATAATTGTGTTGCATTCCTCTTCGACTAGTCAGGCAGTGTTTTGTGCTTACCTATAAAATCTTGAACTAACTCTTGAGATACCCAGTCAGTTCTTTTCTTTTATACACCTTTCTTTGAAAATCATTTACTTTTGTGTATAAGTTTCCAGCTCCAGGTCTTCCCTTGCTCTGTTTCCAATCAACCCTCTTAATTCATCTCGGCAAACATTAGAATTCCATCCTCTAGATGTGTCCAAATCACCTTTGATATTTTTGATTTGGCACATTTCCTGCTGATTTGTCACAGAGGTTTGATCATATGGTTTTATTTCAGATGCAATCTCTTCTGGTTTTTTCTGAGAAATGTCATTTCTCAAACTTGTATTATACTTCTGTGATTCTTAGTTACAGGCCAGGATTCATGAGCATAAATTAGTATTGAGAGAAACTGTGTTAAGTTTTTAAGCGCTTATTCAATACATATTAGCATATATCAAAGTTGAAATTGGAAACTTATATTCTACTTTCTTTGTATTTTTAGATCAGAAAATATTAATTGGAAGGTAACAGAAATATAGGATATTAAATTAATGTTAAATAAAATGCAATTTATGTCATGCTTGTATTAGGTAACAGCCTATAATTAACATTGTTATTAATGTATCATAATATATACCCTGGTTCTAAAACTGAAAACCCTGTAGTAAGTGTTAAATTATCTTTCGTTTCCTTCCGTGGCAAAAAACAATTAACTTTGATGATGCTATCTGATGCCGTCTGTATCAGTTGATGCTTCTGAACTACTACCACCGCTGAAGCCATGGTCCTGAAATAAATCCATTTATTTTCTCTTTATCTAAATATTTTCAAGTGATTATAGGCAATAAAATTTAATTAATTTAAGGTATTTATATGATCAAAGTTATTATTGGCTACCTGTTAATTTTCCCAACAGCAAAGGCAAGATGAGCATTACATTTTTCAGTATCGTTGGCTGATAAACTCATTTTAAGTACTGTAATATTTTGTCCTCTCCCCTGGATGAAGCAAGTGTCGGAATGACCTTGAGCATATAGCATACCTTCGAATTTAGGGGAATGAAGTGTCACAGTCATTGAAGTATCATCACAGTCTACAGTTACTAAAACGAAACATGAAATAGTTAGATTTTAAAAATGTTAGAATAATTTAGTAACGTATGAAATTATAATTTTCTTTTTATCAACAACATCTATAATGTATTCCAAGTGTTCAGTTGTCCAAATTTAACCTATATTTATTTAACTGATATCTATTTGTTTAAATGTAGTTGTAATGCAGGGGCGAAAATATGTTATGATTTCTCCAATAATTTGAAGTACAAAAACATTGAAATTTATAAAAAATAAGCTACAAGCATCAGTGCCGGCTTTAGAGTGGAGCATCCAGGGCACCAACCTGGAAGGGCGATCATGATGCTCACCACTTTTTAAGAATTAAAAAAAAATACAAAACGTAATAAAATAATTAATTTTAGCCTATAAATAAAGCAAATGTATTAGGGAAATGTCGAATTAAATAAAATTCAAATATTACAGATTATAAAACAGCTTAACAACTAAATTAAATTTTTTAAGGGAGAGGTGATGTCATTGGCCCAGGGCGCCGAATGTCTAAGGCCGACACTGACAAGATTAAATAAAATATGTAAACTAAAATTGATTAAGAAAAGTCTACTAGCTGGGCAAGCTAAGACCTATACATAGTTATGTAAATATATTTTATACAGAATGTTTTTAAAGATATTTTAACTAAATTAGTCAGACTGTGAAAACGTTTTATTTTTATTTGGAGGTTGTACAAACTAAGAAATCAAAATTATTTTTCAGTTTTTAACATTGTTCATTTTTAGCTGGAAAAGTTATAGAAATCTGCTTATGTTATGGAGGCTGTCTCTATTCCTCTCATGTTCAATCTATACAAACTGTAATAAATCCAATTCTTTTGTTCAGATATTTTCAAGTATATTCATAGAACAAAAAAAAAAAAAAATCCTTCCTAAACGTTTATATATACTAGTGTTTGCCCAGTGCTCAAAATTCGACCATAGCCATTAAAAATTTGAGAAAAACATAATTAAATAAAAAATAAATTCAATAAATAAAGAGAAAATCACAATTCAAAAGTCCTCATTTATTAATATAAACAAAATTTCATTTTCAATTAATAAAAGAGGTTAAACTACTTAAAATTATTTATAAGTAATACAAAATAGAATCATTCAAAATATTTAATTTCCATCTTAATTTATGTGTAATATCACAATAAATTAATGTTATGATTAAGCAAATAAAAAACAAATTTAAATTAGCAATTTCAACTGAGTTTAAATCCATTTTTATGCAGAACTTCGCTGTAAACAATGTTCTTTATGAAGGTTCTGTTATTGTTTAGTACATAGCCTTGCCCATTGCCATTGGAAATATAAACTTCAAAATTTTAAATGAACTTGTTCTACTTGCTGCCACATATAATTGTCCATCCCAAATTACTGGACGTCGCAATAATACACAAAGTTTTCCAAAATTTTGACCGTGCGAATTGATTATGGTCATAGCAAATGCAGCTATTAATAAGAACGTTGTTCTTTGAAATTTGAATGGAAGTATTGTGTCAGAAAATTTAAATTAATTCTTGAAATTAAAATTCTTATATTTAAAATAGCTCCTGTCAATACTTCACTCTCATTCGTGTTCCATTAACTAATACTTGTGCAGTATTTAAGTTAACAATGAGTATAACTATTGAATTTATTTTTAAATTTAATTTATGAGGTAACATTCAATGATATTATCTCTTCAAATAATAGTCCCGATTACTTCATTAAATGTAAAATTTTCGAAGAAAACGGATTAAATGTTTAATATGATATATCTCTGCACTGAAAAGTCCGATTTTGATGATTTTTTTTTTATTTTGTAGGAAATCAAGAAGGCTTTTTAAAATAAATATAAGTATTATCAATTTAAAAAAAGTGTACTTTTTGAGTTATTCGCAAATAAAATACTGAATTCATCATACAAATTTATGGAGCTTGTTTTCAGGAAAATATGTTATATTCATAAATTATAAATGTTTCATTGGGAAGACTTTAGCCAAATTTCATTAAAATCGTTAAAGCCGTATCGGCGCTACAGTCTATAGTGATTCACGTTTTTCGGCCGCCATTTCGAAAAGAAAGGCCCGATGATAATAAAAAGTATACAAAAACACTTCAAATATTATCACGACGTTGTGTCAAAATTTTAAAGTAATAATTTTATTTATTGATAACACTAAAGTAAGTAACTTTAGTCAATAGCTATTAAACGTCAATAGCTATTAAACAAAAAAAGAAGGAGGAAAATCGGTTGAATAATAGAGGAGAAAAAGTGGCTGAACCGTTTTGTGTTTGCCTATTTATATAATGATATATATATTAATTTATTTTTAAATATCCAATATTATATTTGTTCGTAATCATCATGTTGTTTTGTACACATAATATGAACTACAGCGTTGTTGTTTTTTTTTTTGCCCTTTCCTTTCCCCCTAATAAAAATGAAAAATCTGCGCCTGTGAATTCAAGGATCATAAAAAGGCAACTTTTGAGTACTATTAGAAAGTTGTCCGCCGATAAAAATGTTTTTTTTTTGTTCCATACTAATGGTGGTATACTTTCAAGAGGTCTTGGTCGGAAAAACCGGGAAGAATTCGTCCTGGCCATTCACTAGTGAAGGTACTTATTGAACGGTACTGATGCTGGATATCAAGGACGTACCCAGCTCAATATAGAACGGAGAGTGTAATTAATTCTTTAAAAGGAATACAATCAATTTAAGAGCAGAGGAATCTTAAAATTGGTAATTAGACCCTTTCAAAATAATCAAATATTAACAACCAACCTACCAGTGTTAATCAATTTATTAGAAATTTGCTAGTATCTTATTTTAATTTTATTATAGATCGAAAGAAGAGACAGCTGCCCCAATTTTGCCAAATTCAGGGAGCTCTAAATCAGAGTTTCCATAATATTTTTTTTAATTTTCCTTTTGGTCAGTCAGTTTTTCTCTTTTTTTACTCAGAATGAACTTAAAAATCTCTTCAGCTCAAAACAATACAAAATAATATGTAATGTAATGTGGTAATATTGGGTTTTTGTCTGTTTTACTTATATTATTGAAAAAGTAGGTTAAACTCAGATTAGGCTGTGATTGATAAAATTTGTTTCCCTCTCAATCTTGGAATTTCCCTGAAAAGAGAACTTTTTTACCAAAGTGAAAACTCTGTCCTGGATACATCCATACTCAATTGGCTCCATTGAAGTTAAGATCCTAAAATACTCATGATTATACAAATTTTCTTAGAAATGTAAAACTAAAGTTATAACTAACATTTTTTAATTGTTTAAAAATATGAATAGAAATAATTCCAATCAATGTATTCATTATCTTTCGATAAGTATGACTAATATTTAGTCTAAACTTACAATTGACGCAGGGGATCGCCTCTACGTAAATCGCATCTTGAGTGGTTGTAAGTGAGGGAAGAATAAGCGGCGAGAAGTGAGCGGTGTCCGAATGGAGTAGGCATTGGTTCTGTTTGTTGAGGAAGGAGAATGCTCTACATCGGAAATAAGTCTCGTTGCGGCATTTATCTTTGCACTACAAAAATCGATAATTATATTCAATGTGTATAATTGGCTTTATAAAAATGCTAATTATAATTGTGGATTGATGGTAGTGAATAATTGTTAGGGTATTCAGTAAAAATAAATAAATTATATTTATTTTTTGCCGACGTTTAGGACTTAAGATTAGACCTTCAGCAGCGCTAAGAAAAAAACAGATAACAATTGGTATTAGAAACTATTAACATTAAAAAAAATATATTAGACTATACCTTAGTAGATCTTACTTAGAAAATATTAAAGTATACCTTTCACCTACATAATATTACTTTCTTTTTAATGGTTTTTTCTTAGCCCTGATGAAGGTAAAAATAATTATAATTTATTTATTTTCATATTATTTTTTACTAAACACCCCAACCAATATTCTCTACATTGCTGATTACAATTTCAAAATTTACAATGTTGTTTATTGATATTACAAAACAAATAAACTAATCGAAAATAACATTTACAATAATTGTCTTAGTACCTCATCTAAAGTTAAGTTGCCGGTCATAAGGTCAGACCTTATCGAAGTTTGATTTATAACAGGTTCGTGCCAGCATTTGTTCCCTTCGCTGTCTACAAAAAAACATTTTATTAAATAATAATAGTTAATATTTTTTAATAAGTATATTTCCTTTTACAGCCAGAAACAACAGATTATTATTAGTATTTATTAACATACATTAAATAGCGATATATATATATATATATATATATATATTATATAACATAATATATAATACTATTTGGCCCGTGCGAAAAATTCGCAGAAAATTTTGTTCAGTGAAGAAGTAGTGAAACAATATGGAAATAAGTAGTTCCTATGTGTTATGTAAGAAAGGAATTAATATTTTTTCCTTGATAGATTACAATATTCCATTAAACATAATAGACCAAAATATTTATTCAAATTTCTTTGCTAGGATCTATTTTTAAACGCTGACTGAAAAGATAATAAAAGTAATAAAGACAAAATAATGCCCCGATCATAGGAAATTCTAAATTATTTAAAAAAAATAAAATGTAAGAACAACCAAATGTCTTTAAGAAATAATAAAGATAATATAAAAGACAGGAAAATAAAAATGTTGTAGACTATTCTACTCCTAAATGCAATAATTTTAAACAGGAAGACATTATTAAGTATACCGAAATTAATGGACTGTATCTTTGTTAATAATTGTCCGAATTTTACGATTTTTTTTTTGTTTCGTAGGTAATTTAGTAATCTTTCTAATTATCATGGATAAATTGAGAAAAAAAAATGCATACTTTTTGAGTTATTCGCAAATAAAGTTTCTTTTCCTCCATACTTTTTCCGCAGAAATTTCGGGGGGATAGGATTATTTTTCGAATGTAAAGGAGTAGAATATCTTCAAAATGAGTGGTCAACGAAGTTATGGCGTACCGACAAAAAAACACCTTTTAGAAATAATGTATAGGATAATATATGTTCATATAACAAAAATAATCTCAGATTACTTCCAGAAAAGAAATATGAACTAATGAAAAAAAATATATTTTTCCATTTTGGGAGCTCAGCCCGAAAGTCCATCTTCCTCCGTGAATCTTCGAGTGCTTGGAAACCAGTGTTTTTAGCTTCGCCATATTTTGAGCCATTCGTAGTCAACTTTAAAAGTTAAATCAAGTCAGTCATGTCCTCCAGAAGGTGTTTGAACCATTTTTTTTAAAATTTATTATATTTGAAGAAACGATACCACCGTGTCCTCCATTGCCACCACTGGTTAACGCGCTGACTTGCCACCTTACGACTGCAGAGACCTACCACCACACCAACCTGACTCACCTGCACAGTGGTTCTCTATGTAGAAGGAGTCCTCGTGGACGGTGGGTATGAAAGACTCCGGGTCAGTCCACTTGCTCCTGGAACTGAGCGCACACCTTCCTGTCGAAGGGTGGTAGTTCACCGAGAGGCAGGGGGCGCTTTCGTTGTTCTCGATGCACAGCTGGGAGCAGTGCCATCTATTGACAAATAGATTTAATACTTGTGTGAAATAATAATCAATAAACGGGCAACAACTATGCCATTAAGACATGATTAAAAGGAAAATACAATAAAACTGGAAATTACATATTTCTGAATGATAAATTATTATAAATTTAAAAACGCGGCTGAAATTGAGATTTTCACATTTTATACCTACATAAATTCAAACTGGAGAAAACCAAATCCAGAAGAATGGAAGTGGGAAAAGTCGAGGAAGGTCGCAGCAGTGCAAAACATGTTTTATTGCTCGTGAAAGTTCGCCGCTGGCTGATAAGTCCACTGTATCGGCGCACTTCTAATATTAAACAAATTCTGCAACTATCTCTAATAGAAAAGTGACCTTTATAATTAAAGAGAAAAAGTCTTACTTCTCAATATATTCCATAATTAACGCATTATTTCACCATATTTATATATATATATATATATTTTTTAACTCGATTCTTCAACTCACACCTGTCAGAAGTTCCGACAATCAGCGAGTGTGATGTCAAGATGTAGAAGATTGGTCTTGGAATAGGCGTGAGGGAGAGGAGTACTCAACGGCGTCCTACCTGGCTTGAGCATAATATTTATAGTTAGTGGAGGAGATCCCTCATCCAGCTTCTTTTAAGCCTCCTTCGAGTGCTAACGGGCATGTTAGTTGTGGCCATGCCTCGAATCAATGAGTTGGTATGTCCGTGTAAGTTCTATTTATTTGAATATAAGAACAAATATATTTTATCAACAACAATGCTGAAAAAAAAATTGACAATAAATGTTGGTAAAATTTAGTATAATAGGCTTTTTTATCGAGAACCGGAAATTCACATAACAATAATTGTTCTTTAATTAGGTTAAAAAGTAATCCCAAATCATAGCAATAACGTTACATACATCGTTCAATTCCTCACTAAATGTTTCATTAATTCATAATCAGATTCTTTGATTGGTCGGTTTTATGAAAAATTATGTTAAATTGCTGTAAGTAGACCAATACTTAAACCATTTAGACCTATCAATTCATTGTTTATAGTTGATAGATCAATTAAGTAATTGTTAGAAATTAATACTATTAAATTACAAAGAAAGATACCTACTTGTCCTTAACGTTTGGTATTACGTTATCTAATGAACCAACTAATTCAAATCCAGGTGTGACTTCCAAACTCCAAGCTCGTTGAGGACAATCATCTGGAACTGAACGACACGCAATATAAAAATTGAAAGATAAGATTAATCAATAACACTTAATTTTCTAAATAATTATTTTTTAATATATATTTTTTATCTTATTCGAACCCAATTTTTACTTTTCTACCTATACTAGTTAAGGAAAGTATTGCGATCGGGTCAAAATTACAATATGCGGTTTTCGATGGATCTATACATTTCAGAGCCCCCTGAGTCCAAAAAAACTAATTTTTAGCCATTGGTCAGTTTGTTGGGAACTACTGGACCGATTTTGTTTCTCCTTTTTTTATTTTGTAGGTTTTTGATTACTGATGCCTGTGACAGAAATTCGGTGCTCCATGCGCAATACCTTGCGCGCAATAAATGAAAAACATTTTCTATGTACTGTAGCCTGTTTTTTTGAAAGATAATAAAATTTCCTACAAAACTATATAAAAATCATTCATTTTGGACAACTATTGACGAAGTTACAGCTATTCAATTTCCAATGTAAGATTACGGGTTCATATTCTGGTGTCAGGAAGGGTTGAATGAGGGAAAAAGATGACTTAGTGAAAGTAAGAAAATCTGTTGCCAGCATCACACAAGCTTCACTATTTCCTCTACTTTTAACAGAGATTATTGTTTGACAAAATTAAGCTTTGGAAAAACGTTTTTGATCAGCAATAGTAGAGAGTATTGAAATTTTTACACTGATCTACCTTAAGCCGGTTTACATTGCTTTAGGTTATCAAATATATCGTGTTCAAATCTTTTCTTTGATCAATTTTCAGGAAAATAAATCTAATTCAATTTTTTTTTGTTTCTGCATGAATATATGTAAAGATATAAAAACTTTTCTGAAATAGATAGGAAAGTCGTGTGAGTGGACACACCAGATTTTTTTTCTTAAACTGATTGATATTTATTTTCAGTTCTATGTTTGAACTGTGACTAACTCTATGATTAAGGGGCATTTATATAATGTAATATGTGCCATTTGATGACCACGACTTTGCATTTTAGCTTTAAAAATATGCATACAAATCGGAAAAGTTTTCATTTCAATTTGATTTCAACTAATAATAATCATTCTTTAAACTACACACTTGTTATTTTCTCAGGTTGAAGAACGTTTTGTTTTCGACATTTGGTGGGCATAAAGAAACCCAGAACTTCCTTTTGCAAAGACAGATTGCAATTTGTCGTAATACAAAGCCCCTCTAAAAGAACAAAGGAAATGAGGAAAAGTTTGCATAAAGAATCTCCTCTGCCTCCTAAATCCGGTAGGAGATGGAGTTCTCACGGCACAGGAGGCATTTCCCATTGATAATGAGACGTTACAATCGAGGGTTGAGGACACAGCCCCACCTACCCATTGCTCCAGTCACTAACCTTCACCGTCATTCACGTTTTTTCACCAATCCATCATCTCTAAGCAATCAATGTACGAGTATACTATTTTTTTATTATGCTATTATTATTATTTTTTTTTTTTTTGCGAAAACTTCTTTAGGCGCGCTTATTTTGTAGGTATTGAATGAAACTAAGCCGCCGAACTCGGCTATGTAAAGCTCATTCGGGTAAAGTCTTTCGAGTCTAATATTTGTTGCATTTTGATTAAAATATGTCAGACACTAAAAACCGAAACTACGTACTGATAGCTAGGAAATTTTTCAGAATTTCATCCTCTTTGTAAAGAGCTATAATTCAAAATTGTATTTTGCCATAACGCTGAGATAGAGAGCCACAAAGGGGGAAGATAATAATATCGCAAAAGAAAACAAAATAGTAACAATTGTTTGAACATTTGGACTAAAATACCTCAAAATTTAAATATTATCAAGAATTCAGCAACCAGTTTGTTGAAGTCAATAATTTAATTAACCCCGAACTTATTGTTTCATTTTTCGAGTATGATACAAAAGAAGATCGATCAGAGTAAATTATACACAATTATAATTGTGCATATCGTAAATGTTATTACTTTGAGAACATAGAACATAAAAAAAAAACGCTGCGAATTATTTCACAATGGTTTATTATTTTCAAACAATTATACATATAAAGTAACATAACCTTCCTAGTTACAAAGAAAAATAAATAAAAGGTGATTCCAATTATTGGACTAAACTTGGTTTTTTTAATCATTAGTAATATGCTAAAAAAAATAGCGTTACTTCAGTAACACATTCAAAATTTAAAAACCAAAACAAAAGATATAACATTTGCAGAAGAACATATAAAAAAAACTAGAGACCATATCTTTCCTCCTAATTGTCCGATTTCAATGAATTTTTTTGGAAATTCCGTAAACTTTGAAAAAACCAAAGTGCAAACTTTTTGAGTTATTCGGAATTTAATTTTACCATCCCTCATAACATTTTTTCCAGCCTCTTTTCGTTGAAGTATGTTATATAGATATATTTAAAGAGCGTCGAGAAAATGACATTAGCGAAGTTTCATTGAAATCGGGAAATTCGTTTAGGCGCTACAGTCTATAGCAAGGCAGGTTTTTCGGCCGCCATTTTGAAAGTAAAAGGCAGATAGAAATGTCAATGAAGGAGGATCATCCTTGGGTGACCTCTGATTTTATATCCAAATTTCAAAAAAACGGTCCAGTAGTTTCGGAGAAAATGCGTGAACGGCGGACGGCGAAAGGACAACAAAATTTTTATTCGTTTTTCGAATTCTACTTATCCTGAAACATGAAACCTCATATTTTGTGAGGGGGTTAAATTTTTGGTCGATCACAATGGTTCATTATTGAAAATAATAAACCAAAATTATATTTCATACTGTTAATGCCGTTTTGTTTTCATTTTTATCATATGGTCTTGAGCACTCAGCGTGTTTTGTTTTTTTCATTGGATCCTACATATTATAGGCTATAATAACACACAATGATGACAATAATATTCTTAAATCTGGCAATGGATTCTTAATCTGTGTTGACTTTTCTCTCTAGGGCAATTTAAACAAAGAGAATCTAAATGTTGGAAAAAGTAAATCGATTTAAAGTCAAATAATAATTGTCTTTTTGTTTTTCACTTCTTGAACTTTCTAACAAAATATGATATAAAGGTTCTTCTTCAACAATAGTTACCTCAAGGAACACTCTTTAGGAATTATATTCTTTCCCTAACATGGTTCTACTACATTTAGATTATTGCACAATTTCATAACCACCTTCCATGAAAAATTATTATTTTTAAATTTTTTATTTTTATACATTACAATTTTAGGAAATTGTATTTATTACAATACATTGTATCCCAGAAAAACAAGAATAAAAACTTTGTAACAGTTAATTGTTGTCATGTTTGCTGAAAACACGGGTACATTTAGGTGACAGGATATGAAATCACATCATTGTTTTACACAACTTGATGTGTATCTCAAAATTGTTCCTAATAAATCTGAACTTAATTAATATATACTTAAAGCTTATTTTAAACGAGGAAGTTTTTCTAAGAGTGGGGTAACTGTAATATAGTTGAAAAATGATTTGAAAAAATCACAAATTCCTATCATGTACATACTTCCTCATTATCCGTTCCTACCTTACTGATAGATACTTTAAAGTAAATCACAACAATGTCTATACATCCCGTTTTTCCCAGTCTGCAGGTGTTCCTCAAGGTCGTATCCTAGGCCCTATCCTTTACACAGCCTATACAGCTGATATCCCAACCCATCCCAACACTGTCATTACCACATATGCTGATGACAAATGTATCATATCAGTTAATAACGACCCATCAATTGCATCCCAAACCCTTCAATCACACATCACAAACCTTGAAGAATTGTGTCAAAACTGGAGAATTAATATAAATTCCAATAAATCCCATCAAATTATCTTCATCCTTAGTCTAGAAAGCAATGACTTCCTGTTCTTCAGTATACTTTAACAACACCTCACTTATTCCTGTTAAACAAATCCGTTACCTAGGACTCCACTTGGACAAACGTCTAACTTGGAATCCTCATACCAGACTTAAACTACTAGAAACCGCTCGACTTTTCCGACTACTTCAACACTTACTAGATGAAGGCTCTAACCTTTCAATTAATTACAAAAGGCTCATATAAACGACTATAATAAGGGCTATTTGGACTTACGGAGTTGAGCTACGGGACTCCATCAAACCTTCAAATTCCTCTCGTATCCAATCATTACATTCCAAAATCATTCGTAAAATCCTCAATGCTCCTTACTTTGTTACAAATGATATCATCCAAAATGACCTTAACGTTTCTTACGTATCAGATTTGGCCCAATCCAGATATCTATGCTTCCATAATAAACTTCATAACCATCCCAACCCTCTCGTTTCTAACCTTGCTTCCTCTTCAATTCCTGATAACCCTCCGAGGCGTCTAAAGAGAAGATGGCCCCGTGATCTCCTAATATAGACATATTATTAAAGTGCTACCAATGGGTAGTTTCTCAACATGTGTTTCATGTCATTATATCCATCTACGAATTTACTAGATGCATTTTTTTTATACAGTTGTAAATGCCATATAAATAATAATAAAATAGAAAAAAAATCACAAATAATTTATGAATTTTTTTCTAAAGAAACTCAGCTGAGTTTTTCCGCTAAATTGTCCTCTTTATATGATTTTAAAAATGTCAACCTCTACTTTAATTTGAAGTAAATTTTGTCTAGTTTACTATGGAGCAATATTTAATTCCTTAAATAAAATATTTTTTTAGTTATCGCTTCCTATTCAACAAAAAACGTAACACGCTTAAAAACACAAATCTTAAAATTCCAACTTTCCTGCTGGAAATCGTACATTATTTATATGAACTTTTTTGTAGATCTTGATGTGTGCTATCACTCCTATAAAATCTTTTCTCTACTTACAGGACACCCTGTATAGTGGCCCTGCTGGTTAGTTGATTTTAAGGAAAGATTTTATTCAAATTAAAGAAATTAATCGACAATATTACTGCCCCAAACTTCACGATTTCCAACGGCTAATCTAAGAATCTTCTAATGAAAAGTAGGAAG